CCCAAACCCTAAACCCCAAACTCCCAGAAGCCCCCGACTCAGAGCTCGCGCCTGCATCCGGCACGATGGGCTCTGCCGGGGCCGAAGCTGGAGCTGGGTCGCAGAGGTTCGGTTTGGCTGGGCTTCAGTGTAAGGAATCGAATAGGGGTTTAGGGTTTAGGGTTTAGGGGTTTAGGGTTTAGGGTTTAGGGGTTTAGGGTTTAGGGTTTAGGGTTTAGGGTTTAGGGTTTTGGGTGGGTTTAGGGGTTTAGGGTTTAGGGTTTTAGGGCTTAGGGTCTAGGGTTCTAAGCATGTACGACACAACCTGTTGCATGGAATTTCAGAATAGAATGTAAAGATGCGATGTTGTTGGCAGGAGTGGTGGTGATTCAAGAAAGGCGTTGGAAACTGGAAAGAGCAACCAGCAACAGTGTAAAAGGAACAGCAATAGTACTGAACCAGCAAGCGAGAGAACAAGTCATATCCTGCCTACCCACCTCCCGACCTACCTACATGCCTCCCTCCTGCCTGCCTCCCTGCCTGCCTCTGCATACATTGTATGCATACATGCGTACATGCATACATGCATCCATGCATTCATGCATACATGCATTCATGCATACATGCATGCATGCAGACGAACATACATTTGCTAGTTTGTCTCCGTACACAGAAATTAGAATGATGTGTAGCGTGCAACAGCATGCAGTGTACAAATCGACATACACATAATTACTCGCCTGTGGGCGTTGTTGCAATACCTGACAGAAGTGCCAGGTAGAATCCGATGGCAGGAAACTGTCTCGTGCAATGGCAAAATATCTATAAGTTATGCTTTTAGTATCGAACAACTTCCACTGCTATGCCTCTGTTAGCAGTTTCTGGCCAAAGACGCTACTACGTCACTACGTGATACCTCCGAAAGTGCCGGCTGGAGCATGCCTGTGTCCTACCACGATAAGGGGGTTTCCGCAAATAGGGGACCCTAATATAGCACCCAGAATAGTAGGATCCATACTAGAAGGACCCCAAAATAAGGTACCCCTTTTTTCGGAAACTCCCTAATATATGCATAGGAGGGAGGCAGCTCTTTGGTGCTCTGGTTCGGGTTTGAGGTTTTGGCAACCCTCCGACAACCCGAAGCCGAATCGACTGATCGACTGCAGTGGGCCTAGTGCCCCGGGCACCGATGGCAGCTCTGGGGCAGGGTAGCCTCGCATCTCGGAATCTTGGAGGTAGGGTAATAAGCGTAAACCGGGCAAAAGAGGCTCAAAACCGGCTTCCGCAGAAAAGTCTTCCTTGCAGTGCCCGATGCCCCTGTGCAGGTTATGGACGTGCCGTGCCTGGGCCCTGTCCATGCGACAGCTGCCCTGCTCCTGGAAGGGTAGGGTTTAGGGCAGGGTTTAGGGTTCAGGGTTTAGGGTTTGGGGGTTTGGGGGTTTAGGGTTTAGGGTTTAGGGTTTAGGATGCTTCGAACTGCTGTGTTGGACCGCTGGCAGCGCACTTCCAAATCGAAATCAAGCAGCGCTGAGCAAAGGAACTGCCGGTGCATCTTTCGCAACTTTCCTTCCATACCCACAGATGCAGCATCACTGATCTCTGCAGATTCTCTTCCTGGTCTTGTCATACCTGGTTAGACCCTTGGAGCGCATCATTCAGGAAGCAGACCCAGGGTTCAACCGAGCATCTACTTCCGGCAAGAACACACATGGGTAGTTCTCTGAATTAGGGTGCCTGTTAGGGCTCTCTTGATAAGGGTGCCGTATCTGACGGCCTCAAGACGGGAGACTCTCGGAGACCCCAAAGAAGCTCAAAACCGGCTGGGGCTCCGGCTGCCGACGTCACCCAATGCGTGCTGCAGCCGCGACACCTGACCATTGTTGCAATCACCGTGCTTCCGACGCCCGACCGCAGCCGCTACGCACCGATAGCGTGCTGACAAAAAGCACTCTTGCGCATTGCTCCTTGCAAGTGTCTCTATTGCGAGATGCCGCTGCCAATGACAGCGACGCAAGTTCCTAGAGAGCGACTGCCGTCTTCATCGTCTGAGTCTACCATGACTGGAATCTGCAAAACACAAAACAAAGCTCACATGACCTCATAAATGGTATCCAGAATATCACATGGCATGTTCGCCTCGCCAGCCAGCGTCGCCAACTTCTCGACAGTCTGCTCCTGCATGGCTCGGCTGGGTTGCGGGCAGTACTCCGGGCCGTTGGCGAAGACTCCAGAGACAACAAGATGTCGACTTCACGTGCAGAGATAAATCAGAAGTCTCGAAAGACCACAACCTGAAAGTTCGCATCCGAGTGTGCCTGGAGGTATCGCGGCAGCTGGTAAAGGTTGAACACCCTGGGAGTCAATGTGCAACCATTCTTACCATATGCTGCGGTTGGTTTGAAGAGGTTCTCAGGGGGAAGTGCAGAAACAAGCTGACGCCTCACAAGCATCTCTGAAGAATAAACGTAACAGCGGTCAGGACAAAAACACAGATGACGAATATCATTGACGCGCCAACTAGGTCTTGACACGATAAGACATGAAACAAGATGCCCATGAGCAACAAGATGCAATACAAGATATGCTATGCTATACCGACAGGTGTTCAGCCGTATGCACAACATACAATGACCACGAATTGCAGTACCGAAAGTAGTCACAACTACAGTTGTGCATGATGTTAACTCATCTTTGTCCAACATAAACCGGTTGTAACAGTATAAAGGATTTAGGGGAGTTTGTCATGTCAGGACTTTATGCTAAGACGATGTACTCACACAATACAACGAAGCTCGCGTCCAATCAGGAATCAAAGACCAGCACAGACAAAACAGGTAGACTGTACTTCGCAAGGCTGTACCACAGTCGCATGGCACTTCATCCAGAACAGTAGCCTCAACAACAGACCAAATGAAGAACTCCATAATGGCTCGTCACTCCAGTTCTCACTCCGAATGCTCTTGCCGAATCCCTGCGGCCTGAAGTAGGGCCGCGGATGCTGCAAAGCTCGCTTGAAGTCGAGGGGAGAAACAAGGATGCCTTCCTGCAGCAACTGAGATGGATGATCTTCTCAAGCTCAACCACTACTGCCACAGTCACTGCCACTGCCGCGGTCACGACCCCGTCAAAACCACTGCAATATGACCTACGGCTACTGCTACTGCTACCGCTACCGATACTGCTACTGCTACCGCTTCTGCTACTACTGCTACTACTCCTACTCCTCCCACTCCTACTCCTACTCCTACTCCTACTCCTACTAAACTACTGCTATTACTACTCCTCCTCCTGCTGCTGCTGGTGCTGCTGCTGCTGATGCTGCT